ATACTGACCGTCAAGGGCGAGTGATCTACAAAATAGGAGTCAGAGAGGGGTGGGGAGTAAGATTAAAAATTAGGATTAGGGATCTTATCAGAGCGGATAAGCAAGCAACATGGGATTATAAGATCCCGTTGTATTTATGTTCAGCTCCCTCGGCAGATTGTTCCTGGGCTCAGGTATTTAGACATACTGGGGGACGGAGATATGAGACGGGGGGGGGGGCTGGACGTCCAGATGGAGGATAAGAAGGTATAACGACATCCCCACGGAAATGGTAGTAACAATAGTAAAAGTCACTAAAGAGGACATGAAAAGAACTTACTGGGCTTGCGCGGACGTATACGGACGGGATACTTGTCTAAGATTATATTTGATGGAGTCAAAAGATATAGAGGGAGCAGGTACTGTCATTAATCCACTAACAGCAATAGACCGAGTAAATCAGTCAAGGGATGACGGAGTCATTTCAACTAACCCGTCCACTATGAAAGATTTTCTCCTCCAAGAATGGAACAATGGGGAAGTGGAGGGGGTCCCTGATGAGAATCTCTGGTTAAAGTGGATGAAATACACAGCTAGGGCCTTGGGGGAGACCAATTGTTATGCATGCTCCATTGGGCGACCAACAATGTTGACCGCCCCAATGCCAAAGGCAATGTTTCCCTGTGTATTAGACCTGGGGTCCAATCAAAAAGAGCCAAATTGCACAGGGATTGGGCTGGCAAAATTGACATACTGGGCCAGCCCACCTAGATTCACTTTAACTCCTGGCGAATAACAGTGTTACAGACATAGAAATGGCACCCGTAACTTGGGTGATTTTGATGGCTGTAAGGAGATAATTAATGTGACTGATTTAGATAAGGAAGGGAGGGAAACAAAATTAGGAGCCTAACCATCCCTCTGACTGATGTGGGGTGGGCATGCACTAACAAAGGGAGCATTCGACAGACATTACCAGAGGGATGGGTGGGTACTTGTGCACCAGTATTGTTGGTCCAACCTGTAAGAATTGGTCATCAAAGACCAGTGACAGGAAGAATAATTAGGAGAAAAATAAATAAGTCAGGATGGAAATAGCCCAATTTGGATAGATGGTATAGGCATCCCCAGGGGTGTTCCAGACGAATACAAAGCTATAAATCAAATATGGGAGAGTTTTACTACAACATTTTTCTGGTGGGTGACAAACAAAAATATGGATTGGATAAATTATATCTATTACAACCAACAACGATTTATTGACCAGACTAGAGATGCAGTAAAGGGGATCTCTGAGCGATTATCCGCCATCCCGCTCATAACTTAGTAGAGGTTGGTTCTAGATCAGGCAGAAAGGGCCGGTGTCTATAGAAAGATAAGCCATTATTGCATATTTATCCCTAACAACACCACACTGGATGGGACAGTCACCAGAGCTCTTACAGAATTAACTGCACTAAGTGAAGGATGAACTGAACTCAGAAGTTAGTACATTGTGGATAGGGTGGTTTGATGAAATATTTGGTAAATGGAAAACCCTAGCAGCCACCATCTTAGGAGCGATCAGTGTTTGTATGGGTATTCTTGTATTATGTGGTTGTTGTCTTGTTCCCTGTGTCCGAGGATTGGTGAGTCAGGCGTTGGTGAAATGCAGTATCTAAACAATGATGAGAGATGGACTGACTCCGGACTCTGACCAGGGGAATGTGAAAAACGATCCTCCAGGCTTGGTGGATGACGAGGATTTGGACCCTGAAAGACCGCAATTGGATGAAATGTTTATTAGTTCTGATGTGATCTCTGAGATTAATCATGCTTGTAAAATACATTTATCCTGAATGTGGGAATATTTAGTCAAAGGGGTGGATTGTTAGATTAATTTGGATTTTAAGAATAATGACTAAAGAATTTCACCCCAAACACAGTATAAATGTTAGAATTATCATGTAGTGTCAACCAACTAACAGAGGGGGCGGTACTAACCATTCAAGGGGGAAGGCGGGAACTGTTTTAAGAAAGCCACCTAAAGGTGGGAGGAGCATAATGCCTTTGTTTGTCAAGGGGTATAAAAACAGTATGTTTGTGTTTTTGGTCAGAGCTCTCCATGAATAAATATACCGATAATTACTTGTGGATTGTGGACCTTGAATCATTGATTATTAAAACCAGAGCTTTACAACCTCTGGTAATGATTCAAGCTTAGGTTGAATTAGAGATAGAAATTCACATGACATATAGAGGTGTGTATGATAATTATATATATGTTGGAATAATAAGCTTTTCTTGTAAATGATATCTTGGAGTTTCATACAACAATGCCTGTCATAGAATTTCGTAAGATCAGTGAATAGTGACCAGCATATACGATTCTGGAAGGATTCTATGACTGAGGGAAAGGATTTGGGTAATTTGTTGTTAGTTCCGCTGAGACTAGATTGTGATTAACTGATTGTGGCAATAAAGAATAATTAGAAACATGAATGGTTTGGTTGATATGAATATATTAGAATAGAATGAATTTTATGGGAGTGTAATTTATTACAAGTCATTGGATAAAATTATAGGTGTTGACTTGCCCAAACACGTAGACGTACGTGGGGATGGGAGAAAGTACATAGGGCATGTGGTAGAATTAAGCATTATAATAAACTATCTATTATTTCAGAAGCAGAGGTGATATAGTCAAGGAATTTTTGTATATTAGGGGAAAAAATAATTCATTTGGTTAGGTCGTTAGATCTGGTTCCAAATCAATGAATGTGGGGTTTGACTCATTGACTGTTAAGTTGTTTACGTTGAGCGTGTGAGATCTGTGTCCTTCAAAGCTATTTTCTGATAAAGTGTGGTATGTGCCAGATACTAAAACTACTGACCATTATCATTGGAATAAAGGAGGATTAACTTGTCATTTCAATAAAGCATAGATTCTGCATCGCTGAACAGAGTCTAGGTTTTCTAAGTATAGTTTAACTATGGTTGTGGGTTGTTTAGATTGAAGGAACATTCAGGATAAGACTGGACGATCTAGCAGCCTGCGTCTTTTCAGACTGAAGGACTCACTTATTCAACGGGAAAGAATGAGGAGTGACTATAGTCAGAAAGGACAGTTACATGAATCTGAATAGCGTACTGGCAATTTGGATAGAGTTATGGCCATATTTTGAATTGTTTAGGTAGACTGGAATGAAAGTAAGGTATTTTAATAATATGGATATAAATATATTATTAGTTATTGTTGGGATGTGAATAGACTTTACTAATGCCATGAACTGGTTTCCGGGTAAAATAGAGTCGTACTTGCTTGACTGTATCGAGCTGAAAGAGTTATTTAAAGCAAGTTTGAATAGCTGGATGGAAAGCATTTATTATAAGTTTTTCCTTGAAGAATGTGCAAAAATCCCAGTAGCTAGATGTGCAAAGCTTATGGAGACATACCCCAAGAGACTTGCAGCTGTAATTGCTGCAAAAGGTGGCTCTACAAAGTATTGACTTTGGGGGGGTGAATAGTTATGCACGCTCAAGTTTTCTGTTTTTTGGTCTTATTTCTTGTTTGTTTCACAATAAAACATATTTTGCATCTTCAAAGTAGTAGGCATGTTGTGTAAATCAAATGATATAAACCCCACTAAAATCAATTGTAACTCCAGGTTGTAAGGCAACAAAATAGGAAAAATGCCAAGGGGGGTGAATACTTTCGCAATCCACTGTAATATTCCAATGAAATTCCAATGAAATGTACCATATTACTGCTCCAGAAGTCGGGGGTTCAATTCCCACTTCCGCCTGTCTCACTTTGACCCGTTCTCTGTCTCCTCCTGTTTCTAATCTGTCTAAACAAAGCATTGAAAGAAATGATGGTGGAATTCCACACAAAATATTTTCCATAGGCCCTCATCATCAATCAATATTTAGGTTATAAACCATTTGTATGTCTTAACCATTTCATTGTATTAGGGACACCATTTTTTGTGTTTTGATGCTGCATTTTATATGAACTGAAACCCCAAAAATTGTTTTCAAACACCAATATTCCAACTGAAGAACCACTTTGGGGGTTTCAGAGTACTTATATATTTTTTTTTTTTACACTTTCTGTGTATCATAACACTTGCATTGGTTTACATTCAAACACACTCCAAACACCAGATCTCAGGTTAGGTGCACTACTTTCCATGGTTTTATTACCCAATCATGGTGTTTTGAGTCTTTCTATTTGTACAGTGTAGCTAGCAAAATAACAGGTTATTACTGAATGACTAATAATTGACTGGACCAGCCTGAGCAGATGCGCTAGCTCGTGAAACAATGCGCAATGTCTCTGTCAAGCAATGTCTATGTCCCGGACAAATTACTTTGTTACAAATCAATAACCAGTCAAAAGTATAGCTTACTTACCAATAAAATAAGCCCAAAACGTTATGATAACTATAAAAAAACATTGGACTGCCATTTCCTTCAAACCAAGTTTTAGGCTACTGATGTTCTGTTAGGCTAGTCAGTAAAAGTGAAACATGCACGTTCGCATTATCATTCCCTCTGGAACGCTCTGGGAATGTTCCAAAGGACAAACAAAATAATGGGGGCTACATACTTCCATGTAGCCTAGTGCGGCTCAAATAGAATTAGCTGAACTAAGCAAGCAAGCAAGGAGTCAAGAGCTCTGACAGAAGGGTGTTGAAAGACCACGGATGACAATCCTGGAAGGGTGAGGACACACTGTGTAGGGTAGGTTGTGCATTTGGTAAAATAGGAAATAAAACAACATGATAATGATGATGATGATGATTGATCATGTTTAAATAACAGAACATTCTTTAAAATATGTTTGCATCATATACATGTTCACAAATGAATGCATGAGTCAAGTGATCCAGACTACAATCTCTAGACTGATTTCTGACACACACACACACACACACACATACACACACACACACATTCACACAGACACACAGACACACAGACACAAACAGGATGCCCCCTCGCTCAGAAATATGATGAACAGAGTGCTCACAGACACACAGACACAGTCTGGAGCAGGTGCAATCACTCCTTGAGAATGGCAGTGGTAGTGCTGATATCTCTCATCCTCCTCTCTCTGGGGTTTGCAGGTGAGTTAAAAATTAGAATCAAACTATATTTTCATTTTGATCTATATTGTTGTGTTAATGGTGAAGTTTAAGTCACTCTGTCCCCCTTCATGGCTTAGATTTAATAAGGATGTTAGTCTGGCTTGGTTAGGGTGATGCCTTGGGTAAAACTAGAAATCAAAGAAATCATTCATTTGCCTTTTCAAAAAGTGTAAAAAGAAAACAAGACACGGATATGCTTTTATTTTTAATCAGTGATCCATTAACCACTGTAGAGAAAACCAGAACCCAGGTGTGTAAGAGTTGATTAGACTGTATTCAGTTTAGCCTACTTCTCAGGACTACATCAAATGAAAGAAATTGTCAAGAAAATATGAAATAATAACCATTTCACTTATTTGATGTCATTGTGATATTTCCATTAAAACTACAGTTTTTGTTGTTGATCTCTCCTTCTACGCCTGACCTAGATACACAATAGAAGTAATGGTGTTTCGTAAGATTAGTCTTACCAACACCCCTCTCAATCATCTTGAGTTCAATTTGCCATATCATATATTCTGAGTTGTACTAACCTCTTCTTTAGTATGAAGGCTTACAGTATTTTCTGTGTATAAGTTGTAATTAATTTATCATTAGTAATTCAAATACAGCTTCCCCTTTTTCTGCTCACTAGTTTTCTGACACTACACTCTTAGAAAAAAAGGGTTCCAAAAGGGTTCTTTGCAGAGGGATAGGGTTCTACCTAGAACCGATTTGATCAGAAGAACCCTTTTTGAAAGACAAATAAAATAAAATAAAATCAAGCTATATTTATATAGCACATTTCAGACATGGAATGCAACACAATGTGCTTTACAGGAAAAAACAAATAAAAACAAAAATACAAATACAAATATTTACTACACAACAAACATAACAGGATAAAAAACAAAATAATAACAATAAACTCCAAATGTCTCAAAAGCACCCTAAGGAAAAGCAAACCTAAAAAGGTGTGTTTTAAGATCTCTTTTAAAAATGCCCACAGTTTTGTCCCCCCTCAGGTTCTCTGGCAGGCTATTCCAGAGGCTGGGGGCATAGTAACTAAAGATTGCCTCTCCAATAACTTTTAGATGATAAAATGGTTCTTGGTAGAACCCTTTATAGAGGGTTCTAGGTAGAACCATATACAGAGGATTCTTTGAAGAACCCTACGTAGAGAGTTTGAGGTAGAACCCTCTGCAAAGGGTTCTACCCAGCACCAAAAAGCGTTCCCCTATGGGAGCAAACCGAAGAACCCTGTATGATTCTACTTAGCATCTCTTTTTTTCTGAGTGTAAAAGTAATTACCAGCTGTATCTGATGGTAAAATGTACATTTCACAGTATGTTCAGGTGCTGAGGAGTGTGTGTACGCTGCTGTTGGGAGGAACAAGGTGATTGACCAAGATCACCCAGGCCTGGAGTTGCTTGGAGAGTCATTTCACTTACGGTGGACCCATGACTCTATAATAGTTTACGACAACAGGAGGACTACTGAGCAGAAACATCAGTCCACACCGAATGGTTCTCTGTTACTAAATAACCTTCAGCTGGATAATACAGGGACTTACCAGGTCACCATCTACGACGACATGGGAAAACTCATTAGGTCTTCCACAACTCACCTGTGTGTGGTCTGTAAGTAGGCTACACAAACAGAAAGCAAACACATGCACGCACGCATGCAGCATGCACATACTACACACACAGCCAGTGTTAGGGAAAATATGTGATCATTACAGTGTGTGTTTTGTGTTCTCAGCGCCTGTGTCTAAACCACGTCTGACACAGAAATGTACTGATGCATCTGTCAGTCTGAGGTGTGATGTGGGCAACTCTGTGGATGTTAAAGTGGTGTGGAGCCATAACAGACAAACACTGCCAGACCACAATGACACAACTCTGACAATAACCAAGGCAATGCTCAAACCTGTAGACAGCTACGTGTGTACAGTGAGTAATAAAGCGAGTGAAGAGAAGAGTGACGATGTTAACCCTGAATGTGCAGGTGTGTAGGAGATTCTAAATTAAATAAACATATCTGACAATGATGATGATGATGATGATGATAATGCTGATGATTCTTCTGCAGATGATTCTTCCTCTACAGTGCTCTTGTTTGGGATGAAGCCATGGCTGATGGTGGCGATTCTGGCTAGTGGAGGTGGTCTGCTCCTCATCCTCATCATCATCACCTTGGTGTGTGTCTGCCAGAGCCGCAGGCAGCGCGCGAGACGCCTAGAAGGTACTGAACACACATGATTAAAAACACACCAGTTATCTACATGATGATAAAACAGTACTATGATAAAACAGAAGGCTACTCACATTACATGTAGTTACCAACATCTAACTCCCTTACCCATGAATCCTAATCCCTGATGTTCCCCCTGTAGAGGAGGAGGAGATGAGACTTGCGCCCCTCACCCAGCCCACGCGTCAAGCATCCCTCCATCACCACCATCCCCCACAAAGATCCCAGAGCCAAACCCGGCCAAAGAACAGAGCTACGTCGCAGGCCACACCAAACTCCAGACACCAGCTTCGACCCAGGCCTCCACAGCCAGAATCAGATGATGCTCAGCCCATACCAACGCCCAGACGGACAGGTCCCCAGAACCACAGGAGTTAGTTGTGTGCGTGTGCATGTGCGTGTGTGGGCGTGTGTGCCTGCATTCTTTCATTCTTGTTAACCACAACAATCCCTGTAGTCACACAGTGGTTCACACTTTGGTTGCAGCAGTTACAAATAAAGAGCAATGCTTCACTTATGTATATATGTCAGCTCTCTGTCTCCTTCTTCTTCTTCTTCTTCTTCTTCTTCTTCTTCTTCTTCTTCTTCTTCTTCTTCTTCTTCTTCTTCTTCTTCTTCTTCTTCTTCTTCTTCTTCTACTACTTCCAACCTGACCTTATTAGAATTGCATTAGAACTAGCTGTCATGACATGTTTTAAAACAACTACAGCATCATAATCAGTGAGCTATACTTGTAGGTGTTTTTTTTTTTAGATTAGAGATATTAACTTTGATGCTTCATAAATTAAACTCAGTGTTAGTTCAGCTGGTGTTTGCTGTTCGTAATACAATACTAGAGTTGTGACTCTGTAATTGTTAGAGTATTGTGTGTGTGGTTTGTGTTTCTGGGGTCTTCCTGTTCTAACTGAATGTTCCGTAAACTGGGGCTGTAGCACAGCCTCTCTCAGACAGACACCACATCCTGTCCCTCCAGTGCACTCAACAGGCTGATACCCCTGGATGTAGATAGAGATCCATACCACAGCTGCAAGACAAAAAACTACTGCCGCTCATCTTTGGACAAGCGTGGGAGTGAGCAGTGCAGAGAGCGAAATGAGTGTGTGTGCATGTGTCTTAGAGAGTGTGAGAGAGAGACACATTTACGTTTTAGTCATTAAGCAGACACTCTTATCCAGAGCGACTTACAGTACAGTTAGGGACAGATCGAAATTTACTGGGGGACAGTCGATGCCACGCAGGGCATCAAGCCAAAAGGTTGAGGGTTTGCCGACCACCACAGACTAGCTCACTCTCCCTGCCTGTTTCATTACCTCAAAATCAGAGCCGGTTGCAGACAATGATCAGCCAGGGGGGAATCAGATTTTCAACATTTTGATGCCATATTTATAATTATATAATATACATGTACACTACCAATCAAAAGTTTGGACACACCTACTCATTCAAGGGGTTTTCTTTATTTGTACTATTTTCTACATTGTAGAATAATAGTGAAGACATCAAAACTATGAAATAACACATATGGAATCATGTAGTAACCAAAAAAGTGTTAAACAAAATCAAAATATATTTTATCAAGCACTATGATGAAACTGGCTCTCATGAGGACCGCCACAGGAATGGAAGACCCAGAGTTACCTCTGCTGCAGAGGATAAGTTCATTAGAGTTACCAGCCTCAGAAATTGCAGCCCAAATAAATGGTCCACAAAGTGCAAGTAACAGACACATCTCAACATAAATTGTTCAGAGGGGACTGTGTGAATCAGGCCTTCATGGTCGAATTGCTGCAAAGAAACCACTACTAAAGGACACCAATAAGAAGAAGATACCTGCTTGGGCTAAGAAACACGAGCAATGGACAATTTTGAGAGTCCAAATTTGAGATTCATTGTTCAAACCACTGTGTCTTTGTGAGACTTGGTGTGTGTGAATGGATGATCTCCACATGTTTACGTGTAGTTCCCACCGTAAAGCATGGAGGAGGAGGTGTTATGGTGTGGGGGTGCTTTGCTGGTGACACTGTCTGTGATTTACTTAGAATTCAAGGCACACTTAACCAGCATGGCGATACGCCATCCCATCTGGTTTGGGCTTAGTGGGATTATCATTTGTTTTTCAACAGGACAATGACCCAACACACCTCCAGGCTGTGTAAGGTCTATTTTACCAAGAAGGAGAGTGATGAAGTGCTATCAGATGACCTGGCCGCCACAATCCCCTGACCTCAAACCAATTGAGATGGTTTGGGATGAGTCGGACAGCAGAGTGAAGGAAAAGCAGCCAACAAGTGCTAAGCATATGTGGGAACTCCTTCAAAACTGTTGGAAAAGTATTCCAGGTGAAGCTGGTTGAGAGAATGCCAATAGTGTGCAAAGCTGTCATCAAGGTAAAAAGTGGCTATTTGAAGAATCTCAAATATAAATATATTTTGATTTAACACTTTTTTGGTTACTACATGATTCCATATGTGTTATTTATTCTTCAATGTAGAAAACAGTAAAAAAATAAAGAAAAACCCTTGAATGAGTAGGTGTGTCCAAATGTTTGACTGGTACTGTATTTCCTAGCCTACCTCTTTCAGGTATTAATTTCAGGTAATAAATTCAATGCAGTTATTAGCTTTATATTTAGCTAATGAACGATGGGCTATGCATAAGCTTCTAACTTATAACCTCTGTCTCTTGTACAATATGCTCCGCAATATGCACCATGCACTCCGCTGGCCTCGCTCCTTAAAAAACGCTCCTTAGCTCTTGGAGTCCCAGCAAAAGCTAGACTAGAATAGCTTGCTGGAAGAATACATTTTTAGCATTTCTTATACTAATAGACTATTGGAAGAGGGATGCAAGCTCTTGTTTGCTGAATGTTAAATACAGCATCCAATAGAACTGATGGCCACGAGCCGGGGAGTTTGAAAGAAGAGAGAAGTCGGGATGGGGGTAGGCCATAGCAGTTATTTGTTCAGTACCGTAACCATTCAATCTTCGTGAAGAGAAAAGAAAGCCATCTGCATCTTATTCTAGTCCTATATTATTCAAGCATGTAATTACAAAGATGACGATCAGGACAATGAAAATGCTCATTTAACTGTTGAAAGCGAGGAAGGAATGAAGCAACAATAGAGAAAGAGGAGTTAGGCCAATATGCATGTCGCACAACATTAGGGGAAATATTATGAAAGGCATGCATGCATCAGCCTACTAAATATAGAAGTGTAAAATTGGCCCTATTATATTTCAAAATTAATATCTAATTTCGCTAGCCTATAATTGTAAATTTGTAGGCCGCATGTCCTGCACCAGCATCACATGTTCTCTCCCAGGTTCATGGGTTGAAAGAGGTGTGTAATTCCATTCCACATGATACAATATAATACAATACAGTAATACAGTCAAAAACATAAGCTTCCTGGAGCTTGATTCATTTCATTACCCAAGAGAGCATAGCTACATCTATGGGCTGTTATGTTTTTCTTTTGTGTGTACTGTGCAGTAGCCTATCATAGGCTTTATTGTATAATGGCACAATCATTTGGGCTTTTCTGGGCTTGGCATCATAAAATGTATTTAAGATAGGGATCATAAAATGTATTTACCACAGGTAACATTAGACTTGAATTGTCATGCCAATCAAAGCTCTAATCAAGTGTGCAAAGCTGTCATCAAGGCAAAAAGTGTCATGCCAATCAAAGCTCTAATCAAGTCTCAGGTAACATTAGATTAAAATGTTCATGCCAATCAAAGCTCTAATCAAATCCAGACATATGCTTTATATGCTTTAGAATGACACTTCCGGTTTGAGCGGGAAATACCGGGTTACCCAGGAGAAAATTGATTATACTCAGGACGGAACATTTGTAAAATACAAGGAAAATATTCAACCCTAATCTGTAGCTGTCACGAATTCCGCCGAGACTGCTCCTCCTCCTTGCTCGGGCAGGCTTCGGCGTTCGTCGTCCCCGGAGTACTAGCTACTACCGCTTGATGTCTCGATGTTTGTTTGGTCTTGTCTTGTTAGTGCACCTGTTTCGTGTTATGTATTGATTAGGTCACCTATAAGTTTCCTTTAGTTTTGTTTGCAGTTGTGTGTGATTGTCCGCCTGTCCGTTGATGTATGGTATTTGTTCTCGTGTTGATAGTGTATTTACGCACTGTATGCGTAATCGCTCACCTCCAGTGTTTGAGGCCCGTTATTTTGTATTGTCTTGTTGACTAGTCCTGCGCCTGACTCCAACACCGCATCCACATCAGCTTGTGACAGAATCACACACCTTTTCTATGGAGTCAGCAGGAGCAGCGGCGGCGACCGAGTCGCTGGAGGATCGGGTCAGCTGCCAGGACGCCAGGATCCAGCAACTCGGCTCCGCCATGCAAGAGGTGATGAACACCCTGCGCCGATGGGAAAGGGGAGGCGTGCCCACACCTCCTCCTACCTTACCACCACCAGCAGCCAGCCCCACCAGACCAGCTCCGGAGTCCAGTGGGATTCGGCTCTCGCTCCCGAGGGCGTATGATGGCACCGCAGCCGGGTGTCAGGGGTTCCTCCTTCAGGTGGAACTCTATCTGGCCACCATACACCCGGCGCCCTCGGGTTACAAGAGCGTTTCCGCCCTCATCTCCTGTCTCTCCGGCAAGGCGTTGGAGTGGGCCAACGGCGAATGGAGGGGAATAGACGCCGCCACCATCAGCTACGCGGAGTTCTCCCGCCGCTTCAGGGCTGTGTTCGATCACCCTCCTGAGGGTAAAGCGGCGGGGGAGCGTCTGTTCCACCTCCGACAGGGGAAGAGGAGCGCACAGGAGTTCGCCCTGGATTTCCGGACTCTAGCGGCGGATGCGGGGTGGAATGAGAGGGCCCTCATCGACCACTATCGGTGTAGCCTACGTGAGGATGTTCGACGAGAGCTGGCCTGCAGGGACACCACTCTATCCTTCGACCAGCTGGTGGACATGTCCATCCGTCTGGATACCCTGCTGGCCACCCGCGGACGTCCCGAGTTGGGGCCGTCCATTCCATCCCCCAGCATCTCCGAGCCTAGACCTATGGAGCTCGGGGGTGCTGGCGCTAGAGAGAGGAGGAGAGAGAGCCCGAGGGGGGGCGTCCCCTGCACCAACTGTGGCCGTGGAGGACACACTGCGGCTAGGTGCTGGGGAGGATCTCCAGGGAGTCGGGGCAATAGATCACGCACTGGGGAGTCATTCCAGGTGAGTAGGCGCCCCACTCACCCAGAGCTCTCTGTTGTTCACTTGTGTATACCTGTGGTATTTCCTCAGGTTGCATCTCACTCCCAGCATAAGGCGCTAGTCGATTCAGGCGCAGCTGGGAATTTTATTGATCGGAAATGTTGTATTAAGTTAGGGATTCCCCTCCTGCCCGTTGATGCACCCTTCCCTGTCCATGCCCTAGATAGCCGCCCGTTGGGATCTGGGTTGATTAGGGAGGTCACAGCGCCACTAAAGATGAAGACACAGGGGGGTCATGAGGAGATCATTCAGTTGTACCTGATCGACTCTCCTGCGTATCCCGTGGTGCTGGGGCTTCCTTGGTTAATCACCCATGACCCC